ACAACAGTGGTTGAAATTGTGTAACAGTACTGGGCAAAAGATGAGAAACAATTGAAATGTGAATACAGTTTTTAACCTTTGTAGAACAGCCAAGTTGTGGAGGAATTAACTGGTCGTTTTAGTGTGGTGCACGGTGTACGGTGGGGACGAAATGTTCTGGCTGTGGTAGCTACAAGAGAGGGGGCCTTTAGTGGAGGTTGGACTGTATGACTAAGGATGGAGAAAATGGAAATAAATTGCAGTAAGAAAACTAAAATAATGGTAGCTTCGCTCGGATTCCTTGAAAATGTGGCTTTTTGGTGGCTGGCTAACTATTGACTAGCGATATTAAGGATATTTTCGCTCAACAGCCTTCTCTCCAGGAATATCTCTAACTTTCGCTTCTCTCTCACCTTGATCTTTTCCTCTCAGGTTGCAGTTCCGTTTTCCTCACCATCAAGCCGCCATGATAGTAGCTCTGCGCCAGGCGCTGGATTACCTGCTTGTTCGCGCTGCTACCACTCCATCCACGATAGCCGAACCTACTCACGCAGATGAAAGAATATTGAATGTTATCAAATCACTCTCGCGGGCTAATGCTGGAAGTTTTGGTGTCAACCGTGGTGGTGGAAACCAATTTCCGCCACGGGGACGACCTCTCCCAGGGTGAGTGGAACTGTTGGCTTCTTTCTTACTTGTACCCTGTACAACTTAGGTAAGGTACGCTAACATGACATAAAAGTGGTCAAATGTTTTTGTACGTTTAACATTAATATTGGTAGTTCACGCCAAGTAGTCACGACTGTAGTATCTCTTTAAGTGAAGTCTGCAATGGAGTCCAGTTGCCTATTAGGCCGGCTCGTATCTTCGGTTTCTGTTCGGTTTCTGTAGCATGAAGCGACTAGGAGTATTTCTACTCCACCCTGGATGGGATGCTAGTCCATCGCTGGGTATAAATAGTTCTTTGCTGAACTTGAAAATACTACCGGGCAAGAGTCGAAATACAAATTAACTTCCGTTGATGATTTGTTATCTTACGCTCGATTCATCAGCGTCTGTGTTCTTCGGTTATTATTATTGTGTCTAACATGTACGGTGGAATTTCGATTTCTCGAACCCGCGCTTTTTAACTTTGTTCGAACCTCCTGATAACTCGAACTAGAAGTCGTTTGCGGTAACATTACAGTGTTCGACTGAGGGTAGGCCGATCTCTCGAACTACCCGGTTTTTCAAAACAATTTTAGTTTCCCTTGGAGCTTCGAAGAATCGAGATTCCACTGTTCATCGTTGCGTGGACTGTTCGGGAATATAGGGGCCCTTGCTCCTTCCCAGACCAAACTGTGCTGCCACCGTTGTACGATCTTTGTACTTCCTACTTGTACGTCATATAACTCTCTCTATTGTGTCTTTGCTAGGCTGATGCACAGAGGAGGGCGTGGTGGGCCCCCTCCCAGACGTGGCTACCAAGGCCCCAGACATTACCGTGGAAACAATCGAGGGGGCGGATTCCGCGGCGGTGGATTCCGAGGGGGAACCCCTCGGGGAGGATTTCGTGGGTTTCGCGGTGGTGGACAGTATTAGAGCCCTGTCCGAGATACCTGAATTGCTGGATAACGAGCTTAGCCACACTCCTCAAACTGGTGTCCTAGTTCTTCACTCTTAGTTAGGCGGATTGAAAGGCCGTTTTGAAGAGGATTTACATTTCTCGCAGCCCCGAGGAGATCAGTAGTTAACTTCTCCTTCGACATTACAAGATAATAGAGAGCAGGAGAACAAAGCAGTTAATCACTTACCGAGGTGTCCCGTTTGGATACTCAAAGGGTTAAACCCGGGTATTACGAACGAGTATTTCCATTCTTATGAAAGACAATTTCTTAAAGCTTATAGCCGGATTCACTCTGACTACCTTCATATCTGTCACTGAAATTTCTGCAATCCTAGAACCTTGTGTAAAGTAGATTGACGAAACGAGCTTTTGTTGTTTCGTGGCTGTTTCCCTCTTTATACCGTCAGCAAGTGTAAGTTGTCCGGCGTTATCCACGAAGAAGTTGCCGTTGGTTTATTTGGCCGGACGTTGTCGAGCCGTTCGGCTTAAACCTCCCTATATGAGCTATACTGCTATTTCATTTTCCATGCACGTTTTAAGCGGCCTCCATTATTTTACGCCACCTTGGAGAACATCGATCCCCTTTACACACGACTCTAGGTTAGCATGAGTCGGTCAAATGGTAGCAAAAATGTTTATTCTGTTTGTAGAGTACACATACTTAGGTTTAACTGAATATTTACAATGTTGCTATCAAGAAATACTGTTCACCCGAAACTTTCCAAGGGAACTAGTCAATACTACCTCTCAGACGCTACCATAACAATCGCCTCTAGCGCATGTCGTCCCAGGAAATAAACATCACAGACTTGGTCATGGCAAATAGACAATTTTCATGATGTTATTTGACTTCAAATACCAGAGGCCTTCTAGAGTTCGTTTTCTTCTTCTTTGTAGGGCTATTATTTCTAAAAGCCATTGTGGTTTAAAAAATTAATATTGCAGGAAAAATGAAAACTGATAACTCTGGAAGTCGAAGCCAAATGATGACACCATGTTATTCCCTCGCACTCTCTCTCTCTCTCTGGTCACCAGGGCTAAGTTCGCACTTGACATTCGCGCGAAGCTGAAATATCTGTTCGTAGTTACATAACTCACGACAAGGGCTCTTTAACTCATTTATCCATTTAACGTTATTCAATTTGTACACCTCGCTAATGGTCTCTGAGCTATGGATCACTACCAACGTTTTTCATAACGAGGTAACTTCGTGGCTAAACAGTCACTAACTACAGCTGGGTCACAAATGTCCTAGTGTTTATCAGTTACCCAATATTCGTATTCATCTATAAAACGTCCAACTTTGCCCGAATAAATGTGTTGTGCAATTTAAAATGAATTGGACAGCTACTTGAATTGGATTTCAGGCAAATGCAATTACAACGCGTATCTCATTGTATTTGTAAACTAGAGTACGTGTAACGCCAACAAGTGTTGCCGTCTTTCAACTGTTGTCCGCTGTAATTTTCGGACCAAGGTTAAGACGATTGCGTTCTTCAATGAGTAAATGAAGGTTTCCAGGAATTTAAAATATAAATAGAGCGGAGGTTCCTTTTAAAGATTTCCACCACGTGGCAGAAAAAAAAAGGATTTTCGCAAATCAAGTGTTACTCAAAAGGGATAAACAATACTTCTCTAGGCGCATTTTATATTCAAAGAAAATATTACTCGATGGCGAAGCTTAGCGACTTAGAGAAGCTTAGAGACACTCTTCCAACTCTTGCTTCAATTTCGCTTATTTTCGTCCTTCGTCCTCTCGAGGTAGAATTTTACTGTTTCAAAATATGCCTACTAACGAGAGACTAATCACGTAACAGGCTCTCATGCGGAAGCTAAGACGCAAGTGGACGTATTAATGTACAAATATGTATTACTTTTGAAAGTCATGTCAGTGAAAAGTACCTAATGTAGGCTGCCTATAGATAGTAATGAATTTTAACCCTTTTCCATTAGAGTAAAACGCAGAAGGCGCGTTCCTGTGGGATGGTCAGGATCAGGATCAATGCCTACGACCCTCGATCATGGTGCCTTAAAGGAACCGATGAATCCGCAGTTTCTTTGATGTACTAAAGCAACGTAAAGTTACTTCAACTGAGGAGTCGCGTTGAGGCCCGCAAAAATGCAGCCATTCAAATGAAAGCTCATAATCAGTATTTTCCCTTAGTAGCGTTCATTTTTTCAATTATTCCAAGTGGAAATTTTTAGAAAATTCTTTGTCTTTGTAACTTCCACGGACCCAATGGAGATTAGACGCTGTTCACTGCAGACGAGATAAGAATGTTCTGAATCGGAGTGCGTAAACAGTCCAGTAGCTTAAACTGTAAAGATATCTTCAAGTTTAGAAGCGCAAGTGTGGCTTGTTCTTGGTCATAAATCTGTCAAGGAAAAAAAAATTAAATTTTTAGTTTGTACCACACAGAGGACATGGTGGTGAATTTAAAGAAAATATAAGGGAACTCAAATTTTGGGAAGGAAAATAACAGCAAACAGATCACAGATCCTCGACAGCCATTAACTTTGACCGCAAGAGTGAGCCAACACTTACTTGTCAAGAATTTCCCAGAATCTGATGATGGAAGCTTTATCCAGATGTCTTTTATTTCGACTGATCTGGAAGTAAAAGGCATCACAGAACGGGTTATTTGAATAGCCCCGTCCGTTAAAAAAGGGCCAACGACAGTGACAAGTCAACTACTGTCAGTAGCATAGCTTACAGTTAAAACTTGAACGTCCCACTTCTGAACGTTAGGGTCTGTCTTCATCTCGTCGTACTTCAGATAAAAGCCCTTCGCTGCAAAACATCAAAGACAAAACATATTTTAACGTAAAGATAATGGCAATGTTCAAACGCATCTGCGCACTTAATTCGTCGCACATTCTATACTCCACAGTTAGAAAAAGTAGATGTATGTTTTTATTATATGGCTTTGTCTCACACGGACTGGGAACTACCGAATTCACGAATTTGATTGACTGAAATCGATAGTGAAACCGGCATCTAGACCGGTTACATTTTGCGGGGAAAGGGGTCCAAACTAAAATGCGAAAATATCGACTATTTTCTTCTAACAATATTTATTTATGGAAGTGCTAAAAAGCCTGATGAGAAAAAAAATAAAGAGGACGAGCAAACTTTGGCAGAATTGAGTTCGGCTCATCGCCGTTCTCAAGCAAACTGTCAGCTAGTACAAACCAGGTACATCAAACGAATTGAATTGTTCTCGTTCCCTAGTGCCATATAATAAACATCTTATTAACCAAGCTTAGTCGGTCTGTATGGGAGAATCTTAACCTCGGTGTTGTGTACAGACCTCACTGCGTTCGGTCTGTACTCACGACCTCGGTCAAGATTCTCCCATACTGACCTCCTGCTCGGTTAATAAGAGCTAAGTATTCGTCTCGATATTTCCTTATGTTTCCCATCGTGTTATTGAGCTAAAAATTGGGTATTTTACGTGTACTACGTCAGTTCGACTTGCCACTAGACTACTTCTTAGATCGACACGATGTCCATCTGCCAAAAACGGAAAACGAACTTTGAGAATTCACAGAACTTCAGTTTACGTTTTGAGGTCCATTTGCGTTCACGTGGAGACAATTATTATACTGCAAAACCCATTAGCCAAGAAATTTACCAAAAGGGCTGTTCACAGTATAATATATATCAGACATTTTAAACTTACTTTTGATGAAAATGTCAACGGGAGAGCTGTAAGGCCAACCTTTGAACTGCCAGGCAGGGCCTTGAACAAACACTGCTACCACACGATTCCTGTCAAGTAGAATTTGTTATTGACCAAAGCTGACAAAGAAAAACACTTCACTCACTCAAGAGGGACTCAAGTAAATTTCCCATTTCCACAACATAGAGATCTTTCAACAGTTGTTGCTATGATCCCACCCCGCACCAGGGGCATGTTTCAGATTTCCTCCGCTGTGAAAATACGTTCACATACGCATATGAAATAAAAGAAAGTAAATTTGAGTCCAGACTGGCAAAAGTGGACGAAACAGAGCTTAATAATTAGACGTTTGACTGCTTTACGTCACAGTTTCATTTGTGAATTTTTAAAACGTACATGTAGTCAATATTTTCAAGAATGTGACCAGTTAATGTCATGAGTTCATAATCCGGTTCAATTTTGCCCAATCGTGACCATCCTTGTAACTTCATCGGTTATTTTCATTCCAGCTTATTAAACTATAAATATTTTTAAATTTCAAGACAACTCCGTACAGCAATAATGTGACGAAAAATAAATATTCAGCGAAGGCTCGTTTCTTCAATAAGCCAACAAAACGCACCAGTCATTGGGTTGAAGGCGGGCCGGGTTGTCAATCACTCTGTAAGGTACAGTGACTGTGGTTGGTGTTGCTCCCGGTGCAGCCTGGGCCTGAGTGATTTCTTTCCTTCGCTGAATAAGCACCTCGTTTTCACGCCTGGCGCCTTGGGCCTTTTTCTCGTCAGAACTGATGAATCTTTCAAGTAAAGAAAGAAGTTCAAAACCAAGCTACAATAACAAGTTACTTGTTTATTGCTACTGATAATAACAATAATTCTAAGTTGAAGGAAGAGTGCTGCATCCTCGTCAATACACCCGAACAGTAACGATACTTATCAACCAATCAGAAACGTTCACGAGCGTTCTCGAACGCACGAAGGTTATCGGGTCGACTTGTTCTATAACATCCCTTCTCATAGTCCTCCTCATAACGACACTTACCCTGCGGTGCAGCTGGACGTGTCACAAAATGCCTGAACAGGCAAGTGTACAACTTCGACCAAATACTAACAATGAAAACAACTCTAGTTAAAACTACGTGCCATTACTAAGCTTTTATTTTGCAGCACTTACTTGAAATCTTGGAGAAGATCCTGAGCATTGTAAAGTGTTATGAGCGATGTTGCACCAGCAGGTATAATGATGATGGGAGTACGTGATTCTGGAAAAAAGACAATACCACTAAGGAACTGAATCCACAGACAACACTACAGGAGGATTTAAACTTTGTCAAAATTTGAAAGGATAACTTAAGCTGTACATAGATTCGCCTCTATTTGCATTGTCGTCCGATGCCACTTTAAAGTCCAAAAACTTGCAAAGGTTGCCGCTTTCTTTCTCCCACAAAAAGAAAACACAGTCAGATTCGTTGCTGGAATGTGAGCCTTTACCTAACCAGCTGTACCAACTAGGCAACAGACTTGAAGAGCACAACACATACCGGTATCTGATATGGGAATAAAATAAGTTTTAAAAGTTTCCACAGTTCTGTTCTATCAGAGGTTTATAATACTTGTACCAGTGTTTCAGCCAGAAAATTTTACTTGAGGACCAAAGTGGCCCCTGAAGATCTTTTTAGGGGCCAATTTTTTAGGAAAGGGGCCAATAAACTGAAAGCTACATAAGGAAAAAATGCATCAGAGTACCAAGGAAAATAAAGCAGTTTATTAGGATCTATGATAAAATTTAATAGTAGTGCTTTTTGAAGGGTTTCTACTCAATAAAGTTTCTTTTGAATCAGATACTAGTATGAAGGATCCATGCATTACAAGAGAACAATCCTTAGGCCTACATGGCGTAGTCAATGATCAAGGGTTTGCAATGCATTATAGGGAGATTTCAAACTTGGTCAGCCATTTGAAAGTTTTCCGATATGAGAGAATCAATACAGCAAAGCAAAAGGACAGATTGACTTCTTTTCTTATGTTGAATGTTTTAGAATACGATTTTCTAGAAGGACATAATGTGTGACAAAATAACCATTATTGATCATCAACACAGAGAAATGTAGTCGCCATTATGCCGTATTATGGCGACTAAACCAGAATGTTTGGTCACCAAGGATGAAATGCTTATTGCATTGGCAACCGTATTGATCACAATTTCCAGCACTGGGATGGCTTTTAAATTATTATGCCTGTGTTAAACCTGCAGTCTTGTAAAAGGAAAGAGCCAAATTGGCCCTTTTTTCGTTTTTCTGGGGGCCATCTCTAATTGTAACGCAGGATTCCCGCAATGGCGCACTCTGGCGGAAACACTGTATACTATTGTAAACGTCTGGTTCTATACATGTATATTCTTACCTCTTTTAGCAGGCTTTTGAGGGACTGAAAAAAAAAGAAAATTTCATTAGTACAACAATGGTTAATTGGCTAATGTTCACGTGAAAACTGCCTCAAACCACACCCTGACGTACCGTGATACTTCCGCTTAAAACAATTAATGAAAAAAATACCAACAAAACAAAATGGCCCAATCTCTCAAACTACCATGTAATAAATACAATATTTTGATAATTGCTTAATATCGGAATGAAACAAACACGTGGAGCAAAGTATTTTAAACAAAATCTTCTCCATATAACCTTATCAGACACAAAATAAGTACCCTAGATTAAAATGGAGGTCAGCTTTCATCCTAGTGAACCATACTAAATTGCAGAGCTAACCAGAGACAACAATAGTTTCTGTTTATGAAACCAACAATAGTTTCTGTCTGTGGTATTAAATTATCAGTGCAAATGTAACTGCTAAGAGCAGCTATGCTAAGTACAAAAGTCCTGTTGTGAGCGGTTCCCAGTACTCACCAGGCCTAGGCGACTTGTTTGGCTGTGTATGAGGGGAAGGACTGGGTAACACTCTCTTTGCTGGTTTCTGGACACCCTCCTGTACGTAGATAAAGCAACAGGCTTGTGAGAAAGCTTCTAATCACTGCTTCATGTAATTCCGTGTACACAAAAAGACTAAGCAGTCAGGGGACCAAGTTCTGTTTCTGGCACTCAATTCTTCTTATAGGAATACTTAAATAGTATTAATAAAATAGGGAAAGATCTTTCAAAATAAAAAAAAGTTGCCTAAAAGTTGTCATGCCAGATGCATACAGATCATATATTGTATATTGTAAGTGAAGAATGATCATCGCAGTAAATTTTTCCAATTTAAGCAATTGGAAAGAAGAAGCCTGAAAAAATCAGGGCTTCAACTTCACATTGTATATTGTGTTGTTTGGCTTGTTGACAGAAACTGCAACTCCAACTGAAAACATTATGAGCACCACCAAAATAGTTATGTGAAAGTTCAACAATCACATACCCAAGGTATGTTCTGTCTCAGATGACCAACTTAAGTCTCGGGGACAAAAGGAGAAAATGCGACACAAATGCCTTCAAATTAAGTTCATTATCATGACAAATTGGTATACACGTATGCATGTGGTGTCAAATTTCACTAATGCTCACATACTATAAACTACTGTACCTTCACAGATTCCAAACTGAGACCATGATATGTTCCCATTGTGTCAATTTTAAAGCCCTCAGTTTCTGTTGATAAAGCAAATTTATAAAATTAATAACACCAAGTCTGTTTCCTTAAAGAGAAAAGTAGTCTGTTCCTTGTAAGCTTTCTTCCAGAAAGGAGTTCTGACAAACATTTGTTCTTGTGACTGTTGATTGATCAATAGCTGCAATTGCTTACTTGCATCTATAAGAAAAATACATGACCTGGAAAACTTCTACATCGATCAAAAGAAAACATTGAGCTCTACATATTTATGTTATGAATTGTTTAGCTGACATTACAACATTGCACCTTCTTTTCCTCTAAATCTTTCCTGATCATATCTGTTGTATGGAACTGGAGTTGCTGGTTTCTTTCTGATCTCCTGTTTCAAAGCAAACAAAAGCACAAAGGTTGTAAAACAACATGCTACTGCCATTGATAAGAATTCAAGCATGCTAAGAAAAACTTATGACAGCTGAGGGCAAGTAAACGTTGGAGAGGCAGACCAAAAGAGAAGTGGGAAAGAACAGTAGATGAGAGAAGTGTGGAGTTTGGTTTGCAAGGCTGGTGTGATGTTGTGGTTTGTGCAAAGGACCAAGAAACTTCACAAGAGAGTTTGCAAGGCCCTATTTCCCAGTTCAAGAATTGATGATGGAAGAGGGGGGAGGAGGAGGATGACAATGATAGCGATAACGATGATGATAACAACAAAAACAGTTAGATCTTCCGTTGGCAGATATAAGACTTCATGTTCTTACAAAACATAAATAAGTTATTGGATAGCACACTTTATGTACTGTAAATCAAGATTATTACTACAGTTAAATAAGATGCAAAAGAGAACAGTAGTCTCCTTACAGGGGTAGCAAACGGATCCTGATTCTGTAACTGTTTGACCTTTCCTTCCTCCTGTGCCTTCACAGACTGAAGAATGGCCAACACATTCTTCAAGAATTGCTGAAAATATAATTCCCCAATGTTAGGTGCTGTTTAGACAATATAAACTCAGACCATGGGTGGGAATGTGCTGAAAATTACAATTGCGTTAGACATTACTAAATTGAGTCCAAATATTCAACATGTAAGTGCACATTTCTGAAAACTCATACTGACTATTCATTTTTGAAACACTAAATGACTACAAGACGAAGTGAAGGATTTTAAACAACTTGGGACTTCTACTTGAAAGGTCTATTTCAGATTGCTTGAATCCGCTTTCCCGTCTGGAACTTGACACAGCTCCTTTAAGAGTCTCTCAAAAGCCACTGTGATCAATTTGAAATAGATCCAATATAACAACCTTAAACCTGTCCTTGATCACAAACCTTGCCAGAACTTTGCAAGACAGATGTTCTTGTGCGTAAAGGGCGTTCACGACTAACTATGTCCCTGGTCACATCAACTTCCGCATCCACAAAAAACCGTTGTTCCTATAAAAATAAAGGAAAACCACAATCCAATGTATCTAATGAGCAGAACAAATGGTCTACATGTATGGTTGAAAACTTTTACATGACAACCATGTGGGTACATGCATCTTCCTCCATAACCAGACTTAGGCATGCTATTCACATGCAAGTGTGCACATGTACAAGCACATGCACATACTCCTCAAATCCTTATGCCTGCTTCTTACCAAAACTCCTGCTTCCAAGTCATCATCCACTTTAATGGTGGTCCTTTTCTTTGCCAGACGCTTGGCTTTGATGGCTGCAATCTTCTCAACTGACATAGCATCACTCAAGGATCTGTTAAGATTTTTATGATATAGACACGAGTGTTTTACTGCAAAATTACAAAAATTTGATGACATGAAAAATGATAAAATAAAAATTAAGCATATAATTATGTGCAAAAATTAGAAGCCAATAAATGTCAAGTAAAAATATCTTGAAATATCTTGCCTCTAACACTGAGTTCATTTTTCTGGATACTTCAAAGTAAATATATTCTACACATTTTAACTATAGTGTGGAGAGTATAACATTTTTGTTTTAATCTGTCTGACTCTAAATGCAAAATAAGTTTACCTGATCTGTTCAGTGGTAACAGTTCCTTCCTTGTGTCCTTCAAGTCGAGCCTCCAACCTTTTCTAAGAATGGAAAGGAAAACAAATTTAAGAGTTTTTAACTACTGAAGGAGACTTAATTATTACTCAATTATTACTTAATGATTGAAAGAAGACTACCAGTAGGTCAAGCTAAAGAAAAATTTGAAATCATAAGTTTGATTTCTTATGAGTGTCTTGTGCTAACTGTTGTCTCACTGTCAAAAATGTGGTAAAATGGAGAGAGGGTAACTTAAGGTCATTCCACTGAAATAGAATCTGCACTGAGATTTTTGTGAAACTTTGCCTGTTGATTGTTTATATTATACGAAATTAAATTTTGAAACAAAAATGAGGGGTCCCCATGTTCGTTTAGTAGCAACAGCACCTTGTTTATACCCATATAAATCCTTATAATGGCACCATGATTGTAGTCACGGACGATTGTTTTTTGTTCTACACTGAGAATTGGTCAATATTTATTTTAAACAGAGAAATTTATTGCTCAATTCAAAACAACAGCAAAAAATGATATGTCACCATACTCGTTTGCGAGAAAATGACGATTTACCTCTATGGTGAGGTCTAGCCGTAAAGAAAAAGGCACCATTTTTTAATGCGCGTGCGCTAATCATGCGTGAAATTATGCGCAGTACAGATGCGCAATGCAATACTGGGGAATGACCTTAAGGGTTTCACTGAGGTAACCATGTAGCTGTGATATGGAGACATTTTCTTCATTCACCTCAAAAGAAAGGTGCTGAGAGAAGATCATTATCAATGGTATTTTAGGCTTTGTTATTGACCATAAGCATTAATTTGGAGGGAATGAGAGGGTGGATTAAAAAGTTGAATTAATGAAATATTAAAGATTATTATAACATACCTTGTCCAGCCGCAACTGCTCAGTCTGTAAAATACAAAGTGAATATAAGTCAGAGAAACAGTTAGTTAAATATTGTACTGATAGGACTTAGAACAGTATTCACCTACTGTATAACAGATCTGCAAGTGTACATCACATGCAAAGGGTGATTGGGTCATTTAGTTGCATCACTGACCTCTACTCTTGGCTTCTTAAACTCGCCACCTACAGAGTCATCTCCAGGTCTTTTTGCTATCATTTATAAAATAAATCAATTAGTCACTAGCCATAAGAATGAAAATCTACAGTCTAAGTGTTAAAAATCTCGGGAATATAATAGAAGAATTGCAATGTATAGAAACAAATAATTCACCAAATACCTTGTGCTTGAGCAGCAGCTGAGCGCTGGTTAGGCATCTCCAGTGGGACACTCTTGTCAATACTACTTGAAGTATCTGATAAAAATCAAAACAAACAAGCAGTGAGTGAGAAATCACCAGATTGGATGTTGTCTCTTTTCACTGGGCAATATCCTCTTTGTATTTTATTACACTCTTTTATTAACCAAATAGTGTGAAATATTAAAGTTTGATTTCATTTGAAAAAAAGATGTGATAAACATTCACTAAAATATTTACCTGCCTCGCCATTGAGATAGCTAAGCAATCCCTGAAACAAATGCATAGGAAGTTAAATTTTCAATTCAATGTCATCATCCATTTATAAGACAGTTCTCCCAGCCTCGTAATAAAAGGAAATATACTTTTTTAGGGTAAATATGCAAGATTTTCCCCCTTGATAATAATGAAATAGCTTGTAATGGTACAGTTATAAGGTACAGTTTTTATCGGTGAATGCTTAGTCTGGCCTGACACACTAACTAGGAATGCCTGGTCACATAAGGGAACATCAAAGTCCTCTCCTTTTGTAAAAATTATATGGAAAAAAATTTCCACAGGTAGCATTCAACACCAGGCACATTCAAAACCATCAGAAAAATATTCCAGCCACACTGCCTAGTTGTCAGGTCTTCAACATTGTCACTGGATTTGACAAATGACTTGCAAAGAGAAACATGATCAACCAGGTTTTTTTAGTCGCACTTTCTGTTATTCCCTCCCCTATTCATCCCACGCCAAAACTATTAGGGAAGTAGGAGTGAAATGGCATGACCACAGGGACCCCTGCAACACTATCTCGCAACCACCCCAACCACCCCATGTCTAGTGAGAAAGAAAATGCTGGCCAGTAGCTGTCTTGATATTTTTACTTAGCCTAAACTACATTTACCCACAGTTAAACTTTTATATGATTGTACCAACCTTTCTGTCTGGATATCTCACCACTGGGATTTTTGTTCCCTGACGACATAATAGACAAAAAGAACGTAAGGACAAGATGACTCTGGTTATTAAAGAGGCAAGTGTTTATCATAAACTTAAATATTCTATTTATCGAATTGTTTAGAAACATTATCACTTTCTAAAGACCACAAAAACAAACTGAATGCTTTTGCTCTGATAAAAGTAGGCTGGTAATTCTAAATTGACATGATATCACTAAATCACAACAATGTTGGGACGGTATTGACCCTGCTGGAGTTTGAGGTTCGTTTACTAATAACGAGAAATTATTATTCATCAGCTCACCGCAGCACGCTGGACATAAATTGGATGTGATAAATGCACATTCTTCAGCAGGAACAACAGTGACTCCAAAGTATAGTATTCTTTCGGCTGGGATCTGAAAAAAACAAATGAGAGGCTTAAACACATATAGCAAAACAAATCAAAACTTCAGCGGAGGGCAATGCAAAACGAAGTCGACGGGTCTGAGTCGGAAACTATCAGAAAAAAAACACACAAAAATTTACTCACTTGAAAATGACATAATTCGTCTTTGCTGTTCTTGGAAATGAGAACTCGTCAAATATAACTTCATCTGCTCTTTCTATGATCTCTTTCTTGTTTATGTTGTACTGACGCAGAAGCGACAATGGGTCCGCCATGTTCGTCACTCACTTTTCGAAGACCTCGAAGGCGCGGCTGCTGAGCGCAAAGTAGTGGTTGCAAAGGTTGCGCTTACTGGTATGTACCGCATGTACCTCTGACCTTTTCCCCCCGGCAGCCCGGGGGTGGGTACTCCCTTATATGGGCCATATAGGTATGTGCGGCCCCAAAGGGTATGGTTTTTCAGCCGTTTTAGTCATAAAAAGGGTATCGATTTTAGCTGATTTTGGCCATTTTGATCATAAATAGGGTATGGTTTTTGCCGTCTAGCCTTGATATGGGTATGTTTTTCAGAAGAAGCCAACTTTTCATTATTATCGAAAAGAAAATCAACAAAAGTCCTTCACAAATTATGTTTACGGTAATTTAACATTGGTCTGAACCAGGGAACTAACTATAACGCAGGTCTGAAACAGGGTTTTGAGTTAACGGTCAGGTCATAAACAGGGTTTCGAATCTTTGGTCAGGTCATAAATAGGGTAGGGAATATCGTAGATTTTGGTAAGGGTAAGGGTTTTGGGAAGCGGGTCGTACACCCCCACAGAATTTTTCTGGGCGTTACCCCTCCCCCCTAGCCTGCGAACGCAGACGTATTTCCGGCTGTCGCTTGTCTTCGCCGAAAATAACGTCTGCGAACCTGAGCCAGGAAACGATTTCTGTGACGCAGGAATTTTAAGCCAATCACAGTTTAGCTCAAGTAGTCCCATAACTACCGCGTGAGGTATTCACTGCGAGGAGCACTCGAGTTTTATTCCATCATGGAATCTGATTGGCCAAGGAGAAACAAAAGTCATTACGTCACAGAAATCGTTTCCTGGCTCGGGTTCGCAGACGTTACTTTCGGCGGAGACAAG